GGATGTATGCCTATTTTTCAGTGACAGTTGTTTTATTTCAAAGAAACACTTCAGGGAACTATGCAATGAAAATGTTAGAAACTAGGTATTTACATGTTAAGTGCCTCATAGAAATAACCAGGCAAAAAGGAAATGGCAGGAAAAGAGTAAATTAACACCACATTATAATAAAACTTAGCTTAGAAATATTTGTTTTACTTAAATTGATTTCTAAGCAGCAGAACAACTTGTCTGTTTTCCCTTTTATTAAAATAGAAATTCCCGGGGCTGAGGATTTGGCTCAGCGGCATAAGCACCTGCCTTGCAAGCAGATGGTTGTGAGTTCGATCCCCGGTACCTATAAAAATGAAAAGGACAAAAAAAAAAAAAAAAAAAAAAAAAAAACCAAAAAAACAAAAATATAAATTCCCCTGCAGGAATGAGTAGACTAACTAGCAAACCACTCACCCAAATCTGGGAAAGGTGAAGTCTATTTCCTAAGCTTAGGCATAAAGCATCGCTCAAGCTAAGCCTCAAATATTTCCTATATATTATGTGTTTTTTATTTGTTCAACTGATATGTATTGGGCTTCTCTGTGTGCAAGATTCTGTGAGATGAATGAATCTTTGAAAAGATTTGTGGATCTGAAGGTCTAAGAAGAATGCAAACAACAGCATGTAATTTAATGGCACTGGTGATGATAGTGGTGACGATAGTGGTGATGACTGTTCTTAAGGGAAAAAAAAAGTCAAAAAGCTTAATCTAGCAGGGAAGGACAGTCAAGGCTTGGCAATAGACATGATGCTAGTAAAACAAATGAAAGAGGAGTGGGAGTTCCCAGTCAAAGAGAATGTATGGTTTTTCAGGTTTGACTAAGGGAAGAAAGAAATTGGTTCTTTCCCAGTATTATGAGATTAGTTTGTGCAAACACTCATGATTAGGCAAGTAAGAAAGTGTTAAATAAATGAATGAACCAATTTTGGGGGACTCTTTATTCACAAAATCATTGTGAATATAGAAATGATTCACAAAATCATTACTATGTTAATAGGCACTATGGATTCTAAAAGAGTATTACAGAAATATATTAAACAGCATTTCCCAAACCATCTGCGATCTTAAAAATTATCTTCCTTCTTTCCTTTTTTCCTTTCTGCTTTTCGTAAAGAAACTTTGGGGAACAATACTTCTTTAAGAGAACTGAAGTAATCATTTGTACTTTACATAAAATTATTTCTCTTTCTCTGGTAGCATATAGAATAAGGAAAAATCTTTTCTTTTTTTTAAAGAATAAAACAAAACAGAACAAACAGATCAAAGCCAATCACACAGGACTTCCAGACATGACAACAGGAAATCAACAGTGGCTACCATAGTGTCTCTTGTTTTCTTCAGAATAGTTGTCCGTATCTTCACATACAATAAATTAATACAAAACAAAATAAGTAAAGGAAAAGTCTAATCTTTTCTTAATTGTAAAGAAAAATAAGAACCGTAATGGTATCTGACGATAGGTCTCCAACCTCTTGGTTTCCACCCAACACCCTCCTATCTGCAGTGGACATGGAGGCTCAGAGCTGATCACCCACAAAGCCAAGGCCCAGAGCAAAGCCCTTTGCTGGGAGACACTGAAGTCTGTATTCTTACTAGAGCTTCAGTGAAGTGAGAAAGATTTTGATCTTCTCACTAACACAAACCTTATTTCCTAAAATAGTCACATTTTATTGCTACACTTTGAGCTTATAAAAGAAAAAACAAGTTTTATAGAAAAAATGATAATGATTCACATGACAAAATACCAACTAGTTGAAGCTACACTCATATCATTTTAACCCTTGAGTAGCATAGATCTTTATAGTGCTATTCTGATTTTTCTTTGATTCATTATTTTGGAATTGATGACAATTATGAAAAAAGAATTCTGAATTTGAAAAATAATCAAATTCTCTTTCACTATGTGACAGTATTCAGGAATCACAATAACCAAATTAATTTTTATGGAATTTCATGAAGGATCTTTACTGAGTAAGCAACACATATTTTTAGATTAGATGATGATGTTCACTCACGTAAGTCAGAATCCTAAGGTGCAGACCAGCTATAATTGAACAGTTCTCCTGATGTGAAGTTAGCATCCCCAGAACACAACTAACCATTCCCATCCTCCAAATTCTCTACTGCCTCCTAAATTCCCTCTTCCCACAGTGGCCTCATTATAGGTTAACTTCTGAAATATAAATTTTTATGACAGAAAAATTAGACCAAATCTCTTAAGCTAGTTAAGAAATACAAATAAAGTATTTTCTCCTTTTTCAATGTTTTCCTTGCTACATGTTCATATGCCTAGAAATGGAAATATGCCTTACAACTGTCCAATAGTTCATCTATAACCCCACATCCAACAGTTTAGTCGACAGATATATTCACTGAGAGGCCTTCTGTTCTCATGGAACAAGATTAACTTGCACATTCTGGAGGAGTAATGGACACGGCACAGCTGCCCGCCTCCTGGTGACAGTAGTGTCCCAAGGACTCTCTGGTTCCTATTTTATATTCCATGTGTGCAACACAGTTTTCACGGTTTCTGATGACAACGTATCTCCATTCCTCCTCCGCTCAGCCACCCCCACAATTCCAGATGAAAGTATGTACAGAATCACCTATCATCACTATTGGGAACAGCACTGTAACTTAATTCTGTCAGGCAGAATTGTGGCAGGGCAGTATTGCCGGCCTCCTGGATAAGACAGAACACTGCCAGTCCAGGCACAGTGCTGCACACCTGCAGTTCCAGCTACTGCGGAGGCTGAGGAAGGGAGGTTAGAAGCTGGGTCCCAGTCTGGACAATACAGTGAGAACACATCTCAGAAACAAACGACAACACAATAAAATAGAATTATTTCACTAGATACCAAGATACTTTTTCTTTAATTATTTAGAAACAAGTTTGCACATACAATTACAAAATTTGAAGGAAATCAACCAAAAATACTTTTTTGTCTTTTTAGGAACTCGTACTAAGTGAATGACCCTCTTAATTGTTCTGGCTATTTGATTCTTTATGTCTCTTTTGTCCTAACACTACACACAGCATGTGGCCTAGATGTCTTCATAAGTACACGTTCTCGAGATGTAAACTCACACTGAAAATGAAATTTGTGATAGTTATAATCTCCCAATACAGGCAGCAGCACTCCAGGAAATGTTCTGCACGACTTACTCTTAGGAGTTCACTTAAACCCACCACAAACAGGATCAGGAACTGCTGTTTTTGCAATATTATACTAGAAATGAAATGAATGAAAAGTGAACTAATGTGTCCAGGGTATCAGAATCTTCCACTTAACTAGTATAGTATATTCAATTTGAAAATGACCCCCATTTTGAGTAAAACCCCCACCCTAAATCTCAGTACCTCGACCTTTGTTATTTTGTTGTCCCTCAATTACTTGTCTTATGCCTATATTTAACTATTTAAACCTTATTCTTATTATTTTTATAAATGAATAAAACTAAAATACAAGCCATAAATGGCACTATTAAATAAAAGTACTTTTCTACTGTGAAATATTATGTCGTCATTAAAAATAGTGATTCGTATATAATTACAGCAGAAAGAAAAGTTGTGCATGATATATCGTTGAGTGAAAGGACCAATGAAAGACCAACGTGATCCACAAATTACATATTCCTTTGCTTCAAAAATAATTCACTGTATATGCTAATGCATTCCTTTTATACTACTAGTTATGTTTTGTAGTCTGAGTAAGTACTTTGAAGATAATATATGAACTGTGGTTATTCTCTTATCTTGTTCTGGCAAGCACAAGGTCCTGAGTTCAATTCCCAGTAAAAAAATAAAAATTTTAAAAAGCAATGAAATAAAAAAAGGAAGAGGGAAGAAGGAAGAAGGAGAGGAGAGGAAAAAGAAGACCTAAAAGCACACATGACAAATTTTGGATTGGAAGGCATGGAAAATTAGGAAAAGTTTCTATATTCTTATGTGTGTGAATTACTAGAAATTTTATGGACTCATGTTATTTTTTTAATGCAAAAATTGCTAACTATTCTTAGAGATTAAGTGTATTTAATGTTGCCCAGTATTTACAGAGCTCAAGCCCTGATCCTTCTTCCATTTTAATTTTCTAGATTTATTTTTCCAATAGATAGCCTGGTAATCAATTACACTACTATGTACTTTCTCTAAAAACTCCATTGATTTTTTTTAATGTTACCTAACTCAGAGTATCTCTTTTTCTTTCTCTTTAAAGAAAACTATGCATGTAGCATATTTCACATATACTTATAAAAAGAAAAGTAAAAACATCTAAGGATTTTATATAATTTGAATCAATAACAATAATATTTTAATACTATTGTTTTAATACTATTATGTTTTGATCTAAAATGAGTCCCAAAAGTTTCACGTGGTCAGAGGTCAGGTTTCTGGAAGGTGATTAGATTGTGAGAGTGCCACACTCATTAGTAGATTAATTCATTGATAAATTCAGAGGTTAATGTGCTATAGGAAGCAGGGCCTGGTCGGTGGAGGTGAGTTTCCGGAGACGGGACCTGGAAAGGTATATTCCTGATCTGGAAAGACTTCTTTCTTTCTGCCTCCTTACTGGCAAAGATTGAATCCCCGTGCCATTTCCTCATGACGTTTCTGTCTTAGAGCTAGCTATCCAGGAACTGATCCTCTGAAACTGTAAGTCAAAACTAATTCTTCCTCTTTTAAATCAATTACACTGGTAATTTAGTTTGTCCTAACAATAGAAAAGTAACTAATTCATTTACTGAATTATAATATGCTATAAAATAATAAAGAATAGTTACAACAGTTTCAAATATACTACTGTATTTCTTTGTAAAAAGATGACTTAATTAAACATTAAAGATATTGTGAAAGCCTTGATTTTTACAACTTTAAAAATGTGATAAAGCATACATCTCCACCCACACATGAAGAAAAATGCATTACATTCTAAAACTTTCAAAATTCAAGAAACAATGATCTTACCATTGTGAGGGTAAATGGATGGTTTTCCAATGCAGAAACACTGGGACAGTGTAGAATAATATACTATAAAAGTAACAAAAAAGAAAATTTTTAAATGACCAAGTAAACTTGACTATTCCAATGATTGATGTTATGTCTACTAATTTTCAAAAATTATGGATGATAATTAGATGTACTTTCATTGCTTGATTGACCATTTTTTCATGCCTATATCTTGTAATCTAAACAACTACTTTGAAAATAACAATATGCAATATATTAGCCAGTGTTAATCTCCTATTATATTGTTTTGAAATTCTGTATGATGGCTCTAATCTTTGTTTTTATTTTTAAAATGAAAAATAAAAATCATGGGTGATCACGAAAAGAGTACTTTAAACATCACTGTCCAGCGACTCACCTGACCAGGTCTTGCTTTAAAATTTTCTTTGACCATTCGGATTTCCATGACATCTGACGGATGACTAGTGACTGAGATGATGGTGACTGGCTTATTGCTCCGGATACACCTATAAAGTTTTTCAGCACAGTACAGGCACAAAGGTCCAGAAATCCAAAGCCAAGTCTAAGGGAGAGTTTTTGAAAATGTACCTCAAGAAATATTTGGGTTGTAGGAATCTACATCTTGACTAATTGCTTATTTTACACATTCCTGTAACAATGTTTCATTTTATATTACTAAAAATGAAACATAAAGAAAAATGAAAAAATAATGAACATTAACTGAATCTCACACAAATACAACTAAAGTATAAAATAAAATATAATGTCAAGACCTTATCTCAAATCACACTCTGCATAGCAGGTAAATACTCCTTCAACTTCTGTGCACACAGATTCATGATGTGTATAGAAAATGTCTTTCAGTATAAAAGGATAAAGGCAAGCTAAAGCTTTAGCTTTTAGGGAAAACAAGACTATGTTTTACCAGTTTAGTGTTTCATTAAAAATAATCCTCAGATATTTCAATGTACATAATGTATATGTATAATGTATGTACACAACAGACATATTTTTAAATGGCATATAATGGACATGTTTAAACTTACACTCACATAACATAGTATGAACAGAAAGTAATATATAAATACAATGACAATTTTGAGCTTGGAAGTCCAGAAGCCTGTTAGTGTTCCAGTCTTACAAATGTGTACTATACCTCCCTCATCACCTTGAGACTTCCAATAACTCTTCTGGTCACTTTTAAAACCTTATTTACATAGTTCTTCCAGACCTTCCTTCTCGCAAGCAGATCATGACTCTTCTACATAAGTGACATCTAGCGGACTCTGTGTGAAGAGTAGGCCTTGTAGGATAAGTTCTACAACCTAATAGCAGGCTGGGGCTTTGGAGCAGCCGCCCGCTGACCATCAGGTTACATGGCAGTAGGTGGGAGTCATCAGACCTGCCTTATCTAGTACTCAGTGTTACACGAAGTTCAGATAAACACTGAGAACAATGAAGTCGAATAGGTATGTAGATGACAAACACAAAACTAGCACTGTTATTCCAAAGTCACCTACAAATTCATTCTCCTTTTTGGTGTTCCTTTTCTTCTTAAAGCAGAATTTAACATCATTATTTCCTACCTTCCCTGAGTACAGTTAGAGTGTAGTATGTCATTTACATATCAGCAGTTCATACAGTCACAAGGGAAAATTAGAGCCTTCAATTAACCATTTACTGAATACTCAGAGAGTCTTAAAAAGAACAAAGCATTTTAGTTGGCAGTGGAATGTTTCCTATACCACTTATTAGCCTAGAGGTTTTGGGCAAGATATTTTATTTATGTAAGCATAATTCCTTCATCATAAAATTGACTCAATTTTCTTCAGTCACTGTGAATATTGAAAAAAACGCATACAGGACACTTTATTACAATGTACAATGCCTAACAGATAATATTAAGTATTCAATACATAAACTTTACAATTTATTACTAAAGATACAATATATAAATATTATAATACACCACAATATAATAATTTATAGTAGTAGTATTAGTTGTTTCAGTACTATTTTATTATTCAAGCTGCTTTTCTCAATAGTTTGATAGAATACATTTGTTATCCTTCTGAGAGTAAGCACTAGCATCATAATATGCAAAGATCACATGATCAGTTTAAATTTTCTATATTCTCAAATATAATTTTCAACTCTAGATACTTAAAAGGGAATAACTAGTATTCTCTTTTTATATTAATATATATTATATATTATTATTTTATATATTTATATCCCTAGTATATATTAATATATTTTAATGTTATACTGATCAATCTTATTAAATCATAAACTTTGTAATAACCAAGAACAGAATTAATCTGACCTGTGGAAAATTGGCCTGAAACCTGGGTTCTTCCATGCAAATCTTCACAAAGGTGTTTTGGTCAAGCTCTTCTGGTAAAGGTTCATGAAAATGTTCTGAGAGATGCTCTGGTAAGGAGACATCCTGACAGCAGGTGCGGTTAGGAAAGATGCAGCCAGGAGGGTGAGTATCTAAATTGGTTTGATACTTCAGCAGCCCTCTAAAATTAAATTGTAAACACACAGAGAGATGAAAAGAAGATTGCAGTAAGGAGACATGATAAAGGAAAATAATCTCTTTCCTTTGCTAATTTTAAACAGCATTGTCTCATAAGTGTTTCTAGTATATCATTTAGGATAAACTGAAATATCTTGAAATATTAATAAATTCTTTACAAAGGGACTAAGCAAAAATATTTTGGCCTTCCAAATAAATAAAACACAAAGGAGAAAACAACATACACAGTTTTTCCAAGTGTGTGCTAACTGACAGCTTTTACTTTAAGTTTATTAGGCAGTGTAATCATGGGTAAATTTTTACTTCAATAAACACCATAATGATGACTATCTTGCTATATCTCCACAGAAAAATACAGAGACCACATTTGATTCACCTAAGCCCAGATAAATAAGCCTGGTGATTTACAGAAAAATCAACCAACATAAATAACAGGAGCTAAAAGCATGTCTCTTCTACGATCTGTAAACAATTTATTCACAGCAATCAGTTCTTAAATCTGCTTACCATTCAATATTTCTACATACACAATCATATGAAGAGCTCAAATCAATATATCAGGGAAGAAAACCCAAAATCTTAACATCTCATTCTTACTGTTTCTTATTTAAAACATTTAGGTTATATTTCTGCATTTCCTATTGAGGGGTTCAGTAAAATCTACCTTAAGAATAAGGTAAATAACAGAGTATCAGGAAGACCACTGCTGCATAGCCAAATCAGGAAGATAAAAGAAAGATTTAGAAATATATTTTAAAAAATCAATGAACTTCATTTTTATTTTGAAGAACAATAACTTTTTTTTATTTCCAAATTTTTTTTTCCTAGTTGGCTAAGACTGTGTTATTGTCAAATTACACCTCATGTGCTCAGAAAATTGACTTTGGAAGAAGTCTGCCTCACATGACATCCACAACAGGCTTAGGTATGGAAGAAATTAATAATACATACATATATATATATATATATATATATATATATATGAATATGTTTTAACACTCACAGGGTTCTATTTATACAATACAATTGCTAGGATATTGTACGTGGGTAAATCACTCATTTGACTCAGTTTTTAACTATTTGTCCAAACCTGTTGCTCCTATTGGCCATCCCAAGGATAGTGGCGGACAGATTGGAGGATAGAAAATTTCAGACCTTCATAACCATAGATTAAACAAAAATTGACATAATGCATGTAATATTATCCTCAGCACCTGGGAAGCTGAGGCAGGAGAACTGCCACTTTTGCCTCCCCAGAATTCAGTGAGGAAGGAAATCTGGCTCATAGCCCTTCAAAAATTTAAAATCTGTTTTGGATACTGTCTTGAGAGAACCTAAACATTAGTCAGATCACAGATAGTAATTGTAATAGTCTGTTTCCATGGTAGTTTAATACTGCACACAGAATTTTATATACTGTTCGCATTGCCCTTATAAAAAATAACTACACTAATTTTATTTATGTCATCGTTATTTTCCCTTCTTACAAACTGAAAAACTATCTTAAATGACTACCAGCACTCCAGGGTTACACAGCGGTGTGTGAAACAGGTGACACTGAGCATGGCACAGGTGACTGATGTTAGGATTTAGAGAATGAATGGATAGCATTCACTGGCCTCATGTTAAAACCCCAAGCTATAAGCAGCCCCCTACACACACACACACACACACACACACACACACACACACACATACTTGTTTCCCAGACTTTGTTTATTTTGAAAACCTACAGGTCCCGGGAAGGCCAGACAGGTGCTTGTTGCTCCCATGACCATTTCCATAAGCTTCATGACACATCTCTGTAACGGTGGTCAGTGGCCTCCTGCAACCTTGAGTGAACAGCAGTTAGGAAAATGCCCAAGACAACTCTGCCAGGGACAGGCGGGGATGAAAATCCCAAGTGTTCTGATTCCAAAGTTCACATTCCTTTCCCGATTCCAAGCCCACTCCCTGTGCAAAATAACCATTCTACTTAATGGAAAATGCCTCAAATTGAAAACCAATGGCTTCACTGAAAAAAATCTTGTCTCCCCATGCTTCCAGGTTTAGAAATGGAGGTGGTATCTTTCTGCCAAACCAATAATCTTATGTTTGTATAAGCTCCTTGACTGCAATGACGTATTTTTCATTGTCTTAGTAAAAAATTAAAAGTGCATTTCTCTGATACTAGTGAATAATTTCTTAGAATACTCAGAATAATTGCTTTTAGAATATATTTCTTTAGAATTGTATTTTGAGCCCATTAAAACAGTCTTCTTAAAGAATTTTAAAAACAAATGTAAACTTGGTATTATGAACATTTGAATTGAGGAAAAATCAATTACTATTTCTTCATCCATTTTCTTCATTCCATCAACATTTGTTAAAATTTGTGATATATGTTTCATGTAGTTTTATGGCTACTTTGAATCTTTATTACCTTTTTCAGAAAATGTATGCATGGTTTTCTTTAGAGTCTAATGTAGAGACTAATGCAGAGTAATGTAGAGTAGTGTGATATAGAGTCTAAGAAGACTTTCTGAAATACTAAAATTCTACTTTATTTTTTGCATTTTTCACTTACAAAAGTATTTTATTAAACTGGAGAGAATAATGTGATATTAACATCACGGTTTCCTCACTTATAAAACAGTAACATGAGAATTAGCCCTTCTGTCTGATAAAAGTGTAATAAGTAATTTTATTCATTGTTTTTATTCAAATTTATCCATTGAATATCTCCTACACATTCTAGGCACAAAGAGATAATTATCTGATTTACCCAGCTCACATGTAGGAAATTCAAATTACACTCTCCATGATAAAACATTTTCTATCACACTATCACATTATATTGTTTTATGTTTTTTGTTGTTTTCCAAACTGATATAATCTTGCTTATTTGTTTCTCAGGAAACTAGAATACAAAAACATTCACCACACATAGTATACACACACTTTTGCCTCTTATTTTTATATGCTTTAGAGTGGACTGACCTTTGGGTTTATGTTAATGTGTGCTCCATTTTGCCACTTTAAGAAATGTCAAAGGGATATGTGGCCAGAGAAAGATTTATAGACAGGCATGGTGTTGCACACCTATAATCCCAGCACTTGGGAGGCTGAGGCAGGAGAACTGCCACGAGTTCAAGGCTGGCCTGAGTTACCTAGTGAGTTTAAGGCCAGCATGAACTACACCGAGAAACTGTGTCTCAAAAAAGAAGAAAAAGGACTTACTTAAAATGATTGCTTTCGACATTTGCTATTCAACAAAATATTTTATTTCAAACCATCAGCTACTTGCCTAATATCTTTATTACTGGAAATAGGAGGTAAGTACACTGGTTACAAATTGCAATTTTTATGGCTCTTTGATGAAATAGCAAAGAAACATCCATGTGTATGAATGATTATAAGTATGGTTTGATTTATCAAAGAAAACAAAAAAGTTTGTCTAGAAATAAATTTGCCAGAATTTGAAAGATTGGTAAAAGACAAATTTTTAATGATTAAAAAAAAGTTTTAAAAGTTTAAGGAAAAGAAAACTTTCTATCCTTTGTTTTATCATAACTGTAAACAGTAAGTTTGGGGGAAAAAAAAACAATGAAATTGGCTCTGTTTTTTTTTTAAGAGGACAAAACCAAGGAAAATAAAATGAAGCCAATCAAAATAAATTAGTATAAGTGATATGGGACTGGAAAACCTTATGAAATCAGCAATAGTAACCATAATCTCTTTTGGTGTCTTCAATACAGCTGCAGATACCTTTGGACATAGTAAAAAATCAAACAGAACAGAATGGAGAAGAAACAGTAAAAACTAAACAATGAATGCAATAAAACACTTCAAAATAAGCTAACAGTAAATCCAAAATGGCTACCATAATGTCTTGCTATCTTTTAAATAGCTGCTCCTGCCATCAGATTTAACATAATCAAACAAAACAAAAGAGAATAAAACCCAACCCAAGAAAACAGTGGAAATGAAATGGTCTCCAGGCAGGGATCAGCTCCTGGTGAGGCCTGGATCTTTACCTCAACAGTCAGCAAATGGCACTGACTCAAGACTCCCAGAGAGAGGCTCTGGTGTGGCTGTCCCACTCTGGCAGCTACCTGTGCACCCAAGAGTCTACTTTAATGTGAAATTTTATCTACCACACAATGCTGGCATTGCTCCTTTCCCCAAGTACCACTAAGATTTACATCCTTCACAATTAGTATTTTTTCAATTTTAATCTTATTAGATTACAAGACCCCTCCCCTTTCAGAAGTGCACCATCTGGTGCAGCGCTGTCCTGCGAACCTTCTGTGATGGTGGAGATAGTCTAAATTAGTGCTATCCAACACAGTACCATGAGCTATGTGTGCTTAATGAATAGCTGAAATGTGATTTGTAAAGAACTGAATTTCTAATATATTTAATGTTAACTAATTTTAAAATGAAGAGCTGCAGCACATACTTAATGAGTGTGTGGAAAAAGCAAAACGATCAATGACATATGGACATATATAGTAACCTCCTGAAAATAGTGTAGATGTATGATGAATTTTTACTACGAAATTTTGGAAAGAGCTTCATAAAAAAGGAAGCAATTGAAGGATATGCAGGACCTGATGATGGCCATAAGGCAGGAGAGTAATAGCCCTAGTCTGTTCATAATCCCGGCCAAATGCTACCAAACCTTCAGCTAGTTTCTCAAACATAGCAGATCTCTCATAAACTTCCTGTGAATTGATTTTAAAAGGAAGCAATTATGACAAACTTTAAGACAGAAAATGTCCAGGAGTCAAAAAGGGGAAAATTCTAAAATGTAGTGTTGTAGCTTTCAAAAATAAATGATAAAGAATTTAATGCCAAAAAAGGGAAGGCAAAAATATTTTAGTGAACAGAAATTTGAAAGTCTCCAAGTTAGGACAGTGACGTGAACAGTGATGGTAGGTACAAAGAATATGTGAGAATAAAAATGCTTACTATTAACTATGAAATTATACTGTATTATGT